AAGAAGAAATCGTTCTGCGCCACCAAATCTACATAGAAATTCTTAGTTTTAATATCAGTGAAAAAAACGAATGATCAAAATAAAATTACTTGGAATTTCTTAAAGCTCGACTTCCCATTGTAACCTCAAGTGGTTGAAAGATAATTTTTAATGGTGTTAATGTACAAGTAGCAACTTTAAGTCGTTCTCTGTTTCCAACTAATATTGCCTGTTCGTCCATATTACTAACTGCTCTTCTTCTTGTTTCGTTATAATCTCTTGCAGTTCGTGTTAAATCATATCCATGATCGTTACATAATTGTTCGACTGCATAACAACATAAAGTATAACGTTCGTCAGCATTCCATTGATTCCAGTTTAATTTTTGGTCAGTCAATTGAGCCCATTTATCTCGAAATACATATCCAAGTGAAATAAGCATTTGTAAAGCATAACGATCTTGAAATGATGCATTTCCAAAATTAAATGGGTCAGGTCTTTGTTTTTTATTATTTTCTGTTGACCAGTCCGATATTTTGAAAGTAGAAAAATTAATGTGATATCGTTCAGGTTGATCGATTAAAAACAAATACGAGAGAAACTTCCAAGCTCTTTCTTTTGGTGGTACAAAATATAAAACCAAATCAGAACATTGTGCAATATCTGTGATAAAGTCAACATGTCGTTGATCAGCACATATTCTAAAAACAATATCATTAAAAAGCAATAAAAAACAAACAATCTAAATGTGATAATCGTACCGAACTGGTTTCTTATTTGAATTTTTACCGGTTTTATCTTCACATTTGATCGGTTCCATTTTGAAAACATTCGGCGCATATTTAAGTGGAAGTAAAACATAAATTCCATCTTCTGTATTATCTTTATTAACTAATACATTCTTTTTCTGAATCGAAACAAATGGAATAACTATACGTATATCATCAAATTCAATATGTAAAGTATCTGGCTTTGTTGATGGTATAAACGAAAGTTTAACAACTTTACCATTGAATGAATTATGTGAATAAAATTGATTATATGATCGAAGTGAACCAAATTGACATGATGCAGAAAATGGTGTTCCTTGCTGGTAAACATCAGTCGTAGTTGTTTCTAATGAATGTGACATAAGTGAATCAAGAGGATTCGAGAGAATAGTAAACCAAACAGGTGAATTTTCATTTGGTAATACTTGTTTAAATTTTTCACGAACTTTATTAGCCTCTTCACGTGTCAATGTAAATTCAATTTCATCATTTCCATTTTCTCCACACTTTTTTATACCTTCCTTATCAAATGTTTTTGGACGTACAAAACTAATATGAAATGGATATTTTAAAACAGAAAAAAAACTATCAAATTATAATACATACGTTTCAATATTGGAAGCAAGTTGTTCAGCATCTCTCTTCGATGGTATATGTTTAAATTGACAGTGTATTAATCCACTCATATCTATAAAAAAAAATCTGTCTTATTCAAAAATAAGCAAAAATTAATTATTTTCAGCTGAAAAGTATTATATATGCTCACTAGGAAATTATTTTTCGAAGCCGTAGTATGTATGAAGAAGAAAAGAATAATGTGTAAAGAAGAAAAAAATACCAACTTGTATAAGCTGCTCCGCGAATTTTTTATGCGGTAGACGACGGAAAAATACAACACAGACATCGTGACTAAATGTGTGTTACAATTGTTCTTTTTTTCTTTTCTTTTTTATGTAACACAGCACGCAAAATCTGTGTTGAAACGTAATCAAAAAACAAATATTGACAGCGTCTCAACGCGTTTCTTTCTTGTGTATCAGATACGATTTTATCCCAAAATTCAATAAAACATACAACGAATAATCCATATTTCTCTGAAGTTTGTATAAATAATAATGAGACGATATTGTAATAGTTTTCAGTTATCCAATGTCTATTTAAATAACATGATTAATAACTTTTCATATATATTTTTATTAAATAGATTGTATGAATAATAAGATATTTATTAAATTCTTCGATAAAATTATTTATCATGGTACTCGTGCAATAGATGGAGATAAAAACGATATTATTTTATTGAAAAATAAAATTCCAAATGAAAAGACAATATTATAGAATGATCTTGTGTCAATAACAAACAGTACCAATATAATTATCTATTCTGTATAGATTGTCATAAGCACGTTATTTTATTAAACATGCCACTAGCAAATGTATCTCGTAAACGTTGCTATCCCACCACGAACAAAGAAATATCGCCTGTTGTCAGCTGTCAACTGTAAGAATCATACAAAACATCTTTTCACTCGAATGCAAAAGCTCCAGGAGGATCTATGATTCTAACAGCTTTTCCTTGAGCAGTGAATAAAAACAATTTTACTGTCTTGTGTAGGCGTAAAGGCAAATTTGCATGAGAATTTCTACAGATAAATAAAATTCTGTTGATCACGCGTATATATGCAACCTCAAGATAGAGAATTTTAAAAGAATTTGGATTTTATGAGTTTCTCATAACGATATGATATATAAACTTGAGGATTAGAGTGTGGGTGCGTAGATATAGACTTTGCAAGGGAGGATAAACATGGTATCTATCTCTCACACCCCACATCTATATTCATATATCGCACTGTAATATGGATGCGAATATCTATCAACAAAGAAGCCACACCCACCCTTAAAGATTTTAGGTTGCATTGCTGACAGTATGAGGCGTAATAATTCTCGAAACTTGGTACAAAAGTTAAACATTAAATCAAGATTTCAATTTTACTTAAACGATCTGTATTAAAACTCATCGGATGTTGGCTCTTATAAGTTATATAAAAGTTAACTAAATTCAAAGAAATCAATGAAATAGTCTCGATCGTGTGTTGCCTGGGCTGATGCCTAAGGAGTAACGTAAGCTAAGATATAGACTCGAATTCTAATACACAACCAGTATGTGATAGAGTATCAGCCACGATATGTTCACTTTCTTTGTGGTATTCTATACCACCTTTTGTAAGCTCAGCGACGAGTTTGTCCATGGAATTGACACCGAATGTTAATTTGTATATACCTAATGGTTCAGTATTTCCAGCAGTCAATATGATTTCAAAACTTGGCAAATGAAGGATGTAACGATTTGGTTCGGTATCAACTAATTTATCAATATCCAAAGCACGTAGATATATTTGAGCTGCAGCGTGCAGATCACTTACATTGATATAAAGTTTAGTCATAGCAACACAACTGTTGGGATGTGCCTGCCATTCAGGACGCCAAACAAGCTCTGGATTGAAATGTTGACAGTAGCTAACACCAGTACCAGGAACGGGAGCAGATTCCAAGCGGGTTACACGAAATGAGGCATTTGCAGTCAGGCCATCATTATAATTAACTGGACGCGATACATCCAATATTGGTATAGTTGACAAACCACGTGCAATGAGCGTAGCTTGCACTTCATCGGCATCATGTGCTTTTATCGTCATGGTTATTAATCCTGCAGGTAATTGTTCCAATCTCAGACGCTTTTCAGATGGTGTGTCCTCTGTATACCCGAACAATTCCAAATAATCAGTTTTAAAAACTATAGTGTGATTAATCGTACCAACTGAATGATAGCCGCGCGGAGTAATAATAAAGCCCATACGTTGAAAATACGCTGCTACCTGATCAAGCCGATTCCGGGTATTAAGAATAATATGATCGATGTGGTTCATCATAATTTATTATTCAAATCTAAAAAATCCTTTACTTTTAATTTAACGACTTTTTAATCGATGGGATCAAATAGAAAAAAGGTATTTAGTACTTTCATCGTGATTAGAGCTCAGATTTTACTCGATCTACATATTCTACCGCCTTTGAATTTTAAGATTTGACATATCGTAAACGAAATACAAATAGTCTCATGATAATCATCAAGAAATAATGTTCAAAGACGATGGATATCCAAGAACGAATGGATGTATGTATTAGATCGGTGATATACAAGCTGTCTTTCAATGATAATAATAAAGAAAAAATAAACGCGTGGTCAGTTAAAAAGCAGTATAGGTAAGATTATTTTTTTAGTTTGGAGGTAACGAGCACTACTAACAACCACCGTCCAAAGACAAATATACGCCAACTGTCTCAAGCTACCGAACCATATCTGAACAATAAAATATTCATCTTCTGTCTCACATACAACAATTCGAGTAGTACGTCTTTATGTTCGTTGGCTATTGAAATGAAAGCATACGAATGAAAGACAAAAGAATGAGAAATATTATTATCGATAACATGGGAGAAAAGTGTCCTCTGCAGGTATCCTTTTCATTCTTGTTTTTTTTCAGTCCACAACGAACATGTGTTTTATTACAGATAAGAACGATTTTGTCACATTATTGTCTTTCAGCTTTCTTTCTTTTATTGAATGAAAGAATAGACAGTGTTACATCTTGAGGGTGTGGGTATGACTGAAGAAAAGATGAACTTTGACTCACACCCACACCCCCAAGATTACAAAAAAAAAAGTTGTTTTATGAAGCTCAATATAGAATATACGTCGTATCGACTGATTTTTCACGTTCAACAATTCTTGCATATATAAAAATGTCAACTGACGAGCAGAAACCAAAGAATATTTATTTTTAATTTAGAAGAAAAAAGAAAAAAAAACAATTAGTAGATTTAGTAAGAATAATCTGTTTCAGAGTCTACACATTGACATTTATTCAAATCCATATAGATTTGAACGCTATATTCTTCATAATAGAATTGAGTTGTGCCAAGATAAAGAAAACCTTCTTGTCCTTGTTCATTTAATTGTTGAGGGAAATCTTCCCATGCGTCAGATTGCTGTATAACCTTATAACTATATTTGACATCAGGAAGGCTTGAATCTTTATAGTAAAGTGGAACAAAAACCGGCGCAAAGTATATAATACGAGAATATCGATAACCTTTTGCGCCAAGTTCATTTACTTGTGACTCAAAATCAGCTGAAAAATTGGCAAAGGGTGTTGTCACATATTCAAATGTTGATGATAGTGATGTATCTTTACAATAGAGCATGGTATTCTGAGGACCAAAGCCATAAAGTTTATATCCGTTAGCTCCTTGTGTCTTAACTTGCTGAACGAAATCATCGGCATTGCTTGATTTTGGTGGTGTTTGACATTGATAAGCAGCGTTTGGTCGTGCTTTGTTTCTCACAAGTATATAATAAGGACCTGAAGTAGTATACTTAGTGATCAAGATTCGATAGCCAGAAGCACCTTCTTTATTAAGAATGCCTAAAAAGTCTTGTACTGCAGTGACTCGCGGAATGAAGTGATAGTCATACAATGTAGATGATTTCTGGATTTGAACAAAAATGTTTCCCATTGTTGAGTAATCACCGCTCCATACAGAACCAGCATCAGTATATCCTTGACTTCCTAATTGTGTATATTGACTTGTAAGTGCTGTGAAATCATCTAGGATTGGAAGTACTTGATAAGAAGTTACTGGAGGAGTATTCGACGATTCTACAAAAGAAAGAATTATTATGCAAATATGAATAATCTTTACATTTTTAAGAGAGATCTGCTTCAAATAGAAAACAAAAATTTCTTACTTCGAACATATGACCGCATTGAATCGTAGTTATTATGAGAAGAAAATTCTTCTCTATTGACAAATTGACGTTCATATGTCTTGAGTAATCGACGTAATTGATGAGACAATTCTGATGACTGAGGCCGTGCATTTGCTAAGCCAATAAGAAGAACAACGAGAATAATCAAACAGAATCGCATCGTTCGAATTGTATATTGATTGTAGATGAATAGATCAATAATGTAAATTACATAGAAGATTGCGTATCCTTTTATACATGAATGATAGTGTATGAAAAAAATACAGAGAGAGAGAGATGATTAGTTTATCAAACGTAACGAATATTTTATTTTATTTTTATGTCTCAGAAATTTGAATTGGGCCAATGGGATATTATAGCTTTGATTTTTAGATATTTTTTCTATGAAAAACCTCTTCATTAAATCAATAGAATATTTTTTTTTATCTTGTTGTTTTTGTACAATGCTATAACTTTGTCTACACAGAACGAAAAATAAAATAATCGATATGTCCAAGCATATTTTAAAAACGATCAGGTATAACTGACATTGATTATTATCATTTCAATATGGAGCACGATTCGATTAAACCAATAGAATATTGCGCTGATTTTTCCTCTTCACATATGATATAGATTGATTTGCGGACGAGGACTAATCACTATTCCTACTAGTTAAAAAATTATTCAGGCATGAAACACTCGTACTTAAATTTTTTCTACCATAGGTAATGAAAATACAATGTAAATCATTGTAGATCATTTCATTTTTCTTGATCTATGCATATATACCATTGTTATGAGCATAACGTTAATGTTTCACGTGGTAACATCATTGCACATTAATGATGAGTGATATCTACAATAACTAACTTAGATAAGGATGAAGATTTAAGAGCAAATTATTTTCGATATTCTGACGAATATTATAATAAATCAATAATGATTAAAAATATATTAAATATAAATATAAGGTTATCGATGATAATTAAAGAATTTATTTGATTAATTAAATTATTATTTATTGATTCAAAAGAAAGAAAAAAACCTTCTAATGTCATACTGACGTAATAGTGAATGGTTTACTTTTTTAATAGTATCCTTAATTATAGTTGCTTAATATTGAAATTTTTTTCTTGAGGGTGTGGGATTGCATAGAGAAAAGATCCACGCCCACCCATCAAGATGAAGATTGTTGTGAATCAGAAGTGAAAATTATTGACGTATTATCTACTTCACATTTTTGTTTCGTACCAGATATTATAGAAATAATGTAGAACGACTTCAATATCGTGAAATGCTTATATCGATTATGTGAAATTTATTATTTTTATATCAAATAGTTAAAAAAATTTAATTTTTTTAAAGTTGTCGAAGAATTCTAATTGCTTTATCGAGTGTTTCATCTTTCTACAAGAAATATATCAGAATAGTAAATTGATTTTTTTTTAATTGAAACTTACTTTAGCAAAACAAAATCGAATATAATTGTCAGCTAAATGACGATGTTCGGATGTATAAAAACCAGTGACAGGCATAATTCCAATTTGCTAAAAGAAAATATATAACATTTTTCATTAATTTCTATTCATATTTAGTTTACTTTTTCTTTTGCTAAATATCGAACAAATTTTAAATCTTTCATATCATGAGCATCTGATTGAAATTTATCGCCAGCTATTTTAAAAATAAAAGTTAGCTTTTTTTTCATAAATTTTTTTCAACAAACCAATTTGACTAAAATCAGCAAGAATAAAATATCCTCCATCAGGTACCACTGGTTTCATTCCACATTCTTTTAAAACTTCAACAAGTTTATTACGTTTGCCAAGAAATTCTGATGATATTGAATTAAAATAACATTCAGGAGAATTTAAACGTTTTAATTCATATTCAAAACAACGTGCAATAACTTCTTGTGACAATGTTGGACATGTATATACACAATCCTATAAAAGATTTATGGATATCAATAATATACATATATATATGAAATTACTTGATGAACAATTTGACATGATCGAAGAAGATGTTCTGGTCCTATAGTCCAACCTAGTTTCAAACCAGTGGATGAAAATGTTTTTCCTGCACTTCCTATTGTTAATGTTCGTTCCCACATATTAGGTAATGTTGCCATACGTATATGTTTTTTATTTTTATCATATGTAATCCATTCATAGACTTCGTCAGATATACAAATAACATCATGTTTTTGACATAAATTTGCAATATGTTCAAGTTCTTCATATGTAAAAACCTTTCTTGTATTTTTTTTGAAATAGAAATTAATTTTATTCGAGATTAAAATATGTGATACATACTTTTCCAATAGGATTATGTGGTGTATTAATAATGATTAAACGAGTACGTGAATTAAAAATTGATTCTAATTCATTTTTATCAAGAATCCAATCAGCACTTGATGAAATATCAGCTTTAGTTGATTTTGGTTTCTATATATCTATACAATTAGAAATATCATTAAAAAAAACTAAGTTAAACTAATTACTGGTTTAAGTGCTATACATCGCGGAATACCACCAGCTGATCGAACCATTGGTTCATAACAATCAAAAAATGGTTCAATTAAAATAGCCTATAAATAATACTATATTAAAAAAGTTATAGAAAGAAATAGTTTACTTCATCTCCAGGATTGAGAAAACCATGAAAAGAATTAAACAGTGATGGACAAGCACCACCAGTAATTAGAATTTGATTTAATGGATCAATTTTTCTATTGAAATATGATGAATAAACATTTGAAATAGCTTCAACTAATCGTCGATGACCCTGTTTTTTTTCAAAAAGAACTTATATAATTCTTATAATTAGAACAAATATGAATTAAACATACAAATCCACGTGTATACTGATGTAAAAGTATATTATTATCATTAAGTGCTTCTTTATAAAAATTGATAAGAAAATTCGGTGGTGCATAGTCAATAAAACCTTGACCTACATTTATAGCTTTGTGTTCAGCAAATAATGCCACGAATTCAACCCTAAGAAAAAAAAATAAATTTAAAAATAAAATTTGACATTTTACCATATATTTTTTTCTAAACCAACATAACGTTTTGCTAATAAATCATTCCGTTTCTCAATCGGTTTTTTTGTTTTAGAAGATTCTTCAATAGAAGTTGCTATCGTCCTAACGATAGATCGTTTTATAAAATGTGTATGACGAATAAAACGACATGATAACGAAAAAGTTTTTGTAAACATTTGAATAAATAAAAATCATACATTTTAATGTTCTGTTTTTTTTATCAATTATCTAGGGCCTCTATCGAAACAATATATGACTATGATTGGCTGAACGGCTTTCTACATATCGACAGCCTAAAAAAATAATAAACCATATAGAAAAATTTTCGCAACGTGTGAAGAAATCTCAGTTGATGAATTATTTTGTATTAATAGATCTTCTTTTTTTTCAATAAATATTGAAGTCTTTCTAAAAACCATCAGCTCAATCTGATGTATAAGCGAAATGTAATGAAGATTTTAATGTATAATTTAGTGATCGATCAATTAATTAAGAACTTTTCTTTTCAAATTTTTAATAGAACAATTCATATTGTACATGTGTTATCAAAGTTGGAACTACGTTAAACTGGCAAAATTTTGACGTAATAGTAAATTCATACAATAGCTTGTTTTTGTTAAGGTAGTATTGAGAATTGATTCTGTGAATAATATATAAGCTTTCAAATTAACAAAAATGCGTTTTAAATTTAAACTTTTAAAGTGATTTGAAAATGTTAGTTCAATAAAAACGAATAAAAATTGTTTTTGTGGGAGAAAACTTTGAATTCAAGTATGTATTTCAGTATTATGAGCTGGCAAAAAGCCGATCTCGCCCAGTCTTGCCAGATTCCCGAGTATGAAAAAGTTGTTTTGACTTGGAAATAATCGTTCAATTTTTCGTGAGAGTGCGAAGTTTCATCATGTCGACTATAAGAGAGCTGAAATGCACATAATTAAAGAATATTGACTATTCCATCGTGGTAATAAGTAAGACCATTAGATTAAACAACTGTCACTTTCTTCATACTTTGCCATTTCTTTTCAAATGTTGATACATACAATCGTCTACTATGATACTTATGACAATTGGTAAATGGTACAATTATATATGAATATAAAGAATTTGAAAAAGCTGTAACAAATATTGCAATGAATCAACAACAAAATTTATTAATTGCTTCATCACTTGATGGTCTTATTAAAATATTTAATATTCAAACAAATGAATTGATTCAACAATTAACAACATCAACAAGTCAATCAATTATTTCAATGAT